TCACATTACCATATTTTCAGGAGTTATAACTGTAGAACGCATTGAGCTGTTGACTTCGGATTTTCACTGTACAAATTCACTGGTGTTCTACTTGGTGATGACAGTGTTGTCAGATCTCAAATATGTCTATAATCTGAATAAAAATTACAAACAAATACTTTGTTTCCAAAATTGAAGTTGTTGTAACTTCGTTGTTAACAAATATTTTTTAATGAAAATTTGACAGTTTTGATTTATAACGACTACGAATCCAGTGGTGTAGTCAAATTTGAAAACAAAAATTGCCTAATAAACTTTTGCCGTTTTTGACAAACAAAAAAAACCATAGAGTGCCTTGGAAATGAAACTAAAATTGTGAAAGTTAGTGTCAAGATACAGTTTTTCATGCTTAATATTTCAATAAAAAAAAATTGAGATTGATCAAAAAATACACATTCCACAGGGGTGGTTCCATTTTAAATGGGTCACACTGTATATGACTCAAAGGTCTGAAATCATCCACCATAATAAAAAACATATCTTCTTAATGCGAGAATTAGTCAACACAATAAATCATCGTGAAAAGTTCAAGTTTTAACTTCTTTTAAAATAATATACGTGAAAATATGTTGTTTATTAGGTGGACTGTAGACTGTATGTACAAGATTATGGAATAAATACATTTCGCAGAAAAGAAGGGTTCGTTATGACTGTCTTTCACATGACACAAAAAAGCTCTGCTCTTGTTTTTACGCCATAGAGTTTTTAGGCGTAAACATGCCCTCCACCTTGAAGAGCCCCTTTCATAAGGAACATTCACACAATAATTGAATACAACTGGCCGATACTTGATGAAAATTCATATTAAAACTAATTAATACAGTTTATTGTATGATTTTCACTATAAAGGGTTTTACAAAAAACCGCGACGCGTGTTTGGTTATACAATAGCTTCCTCAAGCCTAAACTAAAAGATACTTCTACATTAGAGTATAAAATAGTTGTAATTTAAAAGTTACTTTTAGTTTACGCTTAAGGAAGCTATTGTATAGCGAAACACGTGTCCCTTATATATAGTGCGAGGACATCTTTTCGAAAATGCCCTTCTGATTCCTTCACTAACGGTCTGAGGAATGAAACTCGATATACATTGTCCTTTCCCGGAAATAATTTTATAATGCGCCTGAGGCACCATCTCAACGGAAATAGATTGTCCTCTCGCACCAAAACCATGTCATCTGCCCGTAGCTGATTCTGATAATTCTGCCATTTGACACGTTGCTCAGTTTCTATGACATACTCTTTTCTCCAACGACCCCAAAAGTGCTCCCGGAGCTGCTGAAGTTTATGGTAATGGAATAATCGGTTTTCCTGAACATGTCTCAGATCACATCAGGAACATAAGTCTATGATTTTCCAATCAGAAAAGGGACAGGTGTTATACGATTTAAATCATTGGAATCGGACGATAATGGATAGGGGGGATGGAGGTTCAGTATAGACTCAATTTGAATCAGCGAGTAAAATTACTCAAAAGTTATAGATTAATTACCCACTTTAACTGATGTTTCCATTGCCTTCAATCATTTCTCAAGGGCCTCTGAGGCTGGGATAGAGTGCCGGTGAATATTCTCGCGCACATTAACGTTTGAAGAACACATTTTATTAGTTCGGACTGCCATTGTCTAATATGATATAAATTGATTTAAAATCACTGAAAGAATCTGTAGAAAATTAAAAAGATTAGCTGAAAAATAACAATGGGTTTGTTTCATGCTATGGAAAATGATACTGGTTTGTTTATAGACTGATCGAGTTAGGGGTATATCATACTTATCAAGCCTAATCGGTCCCAAAATCTCTTTATATTTGCAGAAAAAAGAATAATTCGAAAAGCAAGAATTTAAATTGGCCGCGTGTCTGTTGACCAATAAAATTGATCGTGTCTAGAGCGGAGTTGCCAAGTGTATTGGTTTTTAATATCCAATCACAGATCTGATGATCCAATTTGACAGACGCAATTTTTGTTGTTATTCAACTCGGTGTGAATACAACTGTTACAATTATCTAATTAAAGAAGGTTTTTTTTTGTAAAAGGTAGGTCTCGGCGGGTGCCTATTTTGCTGCATATTCCGTGTCATTAGTTTACATTCCGAAAAATATTTTTTCAGAAGGGGCGAGGGGGTAAGTGAAAACAAGTTAGCTATTACATAATTTTGTTTCCCCGTCCCCATTATGAAAGTTATTTTCAGCGATTTCTTATATTCTGTTTGGTTGCTTAAATATAGCCAGTGGAAATTTTCGAATTGTCACCCTGCCTACATATAGATGGAGCTAAAGAAGTTTTTACTTCAGTCGTGTGGTATAAAGCACACTCGCTTTTTTTTCAAACTTTGATTTTTTGCCCACCAAAAAAACCATGGATACTGAATGGTGATCAACGGCTGGTGTGATACACTATAACTTTCTGCAACCAAACGAAACCATCACAGCAGTGTCAGTCTTATAGTGAGTAAATCTATGAAAAGTACCGAAAACTACGTCAGCAGCAGCCGAAACTGTTCAACAAAAAAGGGCGGATTCTGCTGCAAAACAACGCTCGTCTGCATGTTTCACAAATCACTGTTCGAAAATAAAACGAATTGAACATCGAAGTTCTGCTTCACCCACCATACTCTCCAGACATCTTGACAACCGACTACCACCTTTTCAAGCACTTCGATAACTTTCTCACCAGTAGAACCTTTGCCAATTAGGACCAGGAAAAAAACGGCCTTCGTCGATTTCTTTGAATCCCGAGCACTAAAATTTTATGCTGATGGAATTAATCGACTTGCATTACGTTGCCAAAAGTGCACTGATTCAAATGGCGCTCATTTCGATTAAACTGAATGACTATTCACCGATATATTACCGTTTGAAGTAGATTCATAAAACCTATATTTTGGATGCTTTTTTGAATATTCTAAACGTCCACCAATGCGGACTGTGCCATCTGGATTCCTGAATCGGTTTGAACTGATAATTTTACACTTCGCCCCAATTTGTTTTTCACTTTGAAATCGTTCATATTCCGCGGGTAAATTGTTTTTTGAGAAATTATTAATAAAATTTCGCGACTTCCTTGAATTCCGATATGGATAATGACCCCCTACTTGGTTGGGAACCTTTAAATGTAAAACGTGAATTTAGTTAAATCTGAATAACGCTCGCAAAGAAATGATAAAGCTTCATTAGTTGAAACGAAACTTTACTGTCATTTGAACGCAGTGATATGACCTTCAACAATTAAACCTTTGACTTTGCGCAAAATGATCTCACTGCCATGTTCCAAATGCATACTGCACTTCCCAAACTAGACTGCCAATCCTACATCGGCCACATGTAGTAATCTTATATAACCCGGCCGAGCTGTAGAAGTTTGTGGAACAACTCTCCCACTCTGAAAATTTCGAGAGGAACTCAAGTGGGGGCTTAGTGCGACCTTGAAAGTCGCAGTCGATCGGATAAGACGCTCATTCAGCAGTTGCAATTCGTCCCTAACTTCACACTGTGTGTGAATTTCGGTACGAATAGGGTCCCTTCATTAGACATCAAACGACAACGTATCCATAATAACAGCAGTGCTGCATGATCATATGTAATTGAACTCAAATTATAAATTTTTAGTGATTATGAAGTAAATCTTCCCCACCAAAACCGCAAAGTTTGCAAAACGACATCTATACTGGCGAAATCTCAATAAAGGGGCAAATGAATGAATTTGAAACGTTTAACCTACTATTTGGATGTTGTTTAGATATATTTCAGTAGTAGAAAGTGCAGACGCAACAAAAACTACTCGTAACTTGGTTGTCATGCTTGACTCGCGAAA